TTAAAAGTCAAAAAACAATAGATGCTGGTGCAGATGTAGTGAAAAGAGAATGATTATATAGTGTAGGTGGTACTGATGCAAACTCTGTGGAAAACAGTTTGGAGATTTCTAAAAGACCTAAAAGCAAATCTACCATCTGATCCAGCAATAACACTGGCTGGGCATTCTACATAAAGAAAAAACTCATATTATGTAAATGACACTTGACCCATATTTTTATCATAGCACAATTCACAATTGAAAGATATGGGGACGACCTAAGTGGCCTCCAACTGATAACTAGATAAGAAAATATGTGTGTGTGGTGTGTGGTGTGTGTGTGTTGTGGTATATGTATATATATATATATATAGGAGGAGGGAGAGAGAGAGAGAGAGACACAACCTAAGTGCCTACCAACTGATAACTAGATAAAGAAAATGTGGGGTGTGGTGTGTGTGTGTGTATGTGTGTTGGTATAGTATAGATATATATGATGGAATACTACTCAGCCATTAAAAAGAATGGAATATGTTTTTGCGGCAACTTGGATGGAATTGGAGGCCATTATTCCAAGTGAAGTAACCCAGGAACAAAGAACCAAATGCCACATGTTTCACTCACAAGTGGGAGCTAAGCAATGGATGTGCATGGTCATACAGAGTGACTTCATGAACATTGGAGACTCAGCATGGGGAGGGTGTGGGGGGGCTATGGGATGAAATATTACCTATTTGGGCATAATATACACTATTCAGGTGACGGATATATTAAAAGCCTAGACTTTTCTACTATGCAATTCAGCCATGTAACAAATACTTGTACCCCCTAACTCTATTTAAATTAAAACAAATAAAAAATAAAATAACTTTTATATCTATAAGGTGTTTTTTGTAAGTAACCACAACATAAAAACCTATAATAGATTCACTAAATAAAAAGCAACAAATTAAAACATACTAACAGAGAATCCCTTAACCACCATGGAAGACAGTAAGAAGGGAAGAGAAGAGTTGCAAAACAACTTGAAAACCAGCAATGAATGGCAGTAGTAAGTCCTTACTTATCAATAGTAATACTGAATGTAAGTGGATTTAGTTCTCCAACTAACAGGCATAGAGTGGCTGAACAGAAGAAGAAATGAGACCCAACTATAAGCTGCCCATATAGGTGAAGAAACACACTTTACCTATAAAAACACATATACTGAAAATGGGGGGCAGGGGGGAGAAAGATATTCCATGCAACTGGAAACCAAAAAAATGCATGAGTAGCTATACTTAGATAAAATAGATTACAAATCAAAGACTGTAAAAAGAGACAAAGAGGTCACTATATAATGAAAAAGCAGCCAATTTAGCAAGAGGATATGACAATTATAAACTTCTATGCACCCATCCCTGAATCTGTATTATATAAATGGAACATTAATAACGGAACATCAATCTCTCCTTTTTAAAGGGATAGACTGCAATACAGTAACATCAGGGGACTTTAAAACCGCACTCTTACTAATGAACAGATGGTCCAGACAGAAAATAGATGAAAAAACATCAAAATTAAACTACACTACTGGATCTAATAGGCCATTTGTAACACTTAAAGAACATTCCGCCTAAGTGCTGTGGAATATGCTTGTGTATATTCTTTGCATCGGCTCAGGGAACATGCTCCAGAATAGACCACATCTAAGGCCACAGAGCAAATCTGAACAAAATAAAAAAAAGTAGGAATCATAGCCAGTATCTTTTATGACCACAATGGAATCAATCTAGAAATCAATAGTTGGAGGAAACTTGGAAACTACAGGAACACATGGAAATTAATTAGTAAGCTTCTGAATGACTGACCAATGGGCCAATGAAGAACTTAAGAGGGAAATTAAAAAATTTCTTGAAACAAATGAAAATGGAAATACAACATACCACAACCTATGGGATATAGCAAAAGCAGTACCAAGAAGGAAGTTTATAGCAACAAATGACTGTATCAAAAAAGCAGAAAGACTTCAAGTGAACAACCAAACAATGCACCTCAAAAAATTAGAAAAGCAAAAACATTCCAAAACCAAAATTAGAAGGAAAGAAATAATAAGGATTAGAGTGGGTCTACATGAAATTAAGACTAAAAATAATACAGAAGATCAATGAAATGAAAAGTCGATTTTTTTTAAAGATTAAACATAAATTACCAAACCTTTAACTACACTAAGAAAAAAAGAGAGAAGGCCAGGAACAAAATAAAACCAGGAACATAAAAGGAGACATAGTGAGACCACAGAAATACAAAGAATCTATAGGCTACTATGAACTTTAAAGCAACCAATTGGAAACCCTAGAAGAAATGAATGATTTCCTGGACACATACAACCATCCATATTGAGCCATGAAGAAACAGAAACCTCAACAAACCAGTAACAAGTAAAGAAATTAAAGCTGTAGTAAAAGGTCTCCCATCAAAGAAAATCCCAGGATCTAATGGCTTCACTGCTGAATTCTAACAAACATTTAAATTCTACTCCAGCTCTTCAACAAAATGGAAGAGGAGGGAATACTTCCAAATTCATTCTACCAGGCCAACATTACCCTGATAGCAAAACAAGACAAGGACACAACAAAAAAAGAAAACTACAGGCCAATATCATGTTCTATCATGAACATAGATAGATGCAAAAAATTCTCAACAAAACACTAGCAAGCTCAATTCAGTAACACATTAAAAAGATCATTCACCATGATCAGGTGGGATGCATTCCAGGGATACAAGGCTGCTTTGACACACACAAATTAATTAGCATGATACATCACATTAAGAGAACCAAGAACTGTTCTTGTTTCTTGATGTGTGCCTGTCATCAGCGTATGTGATAATAACCCTTTGTCCATAGCCTATTGGCAAGCTCGAGTGCACGCATGGAGCTTAAGCACATTTTCCTCTGCAGTAAGAGGTGGCCTCTGAGGGTGAAGTTAGATCTATTATAGTTTATATATTCAAGACTTTCCTGTTTGAACTGCACAAACAATGTCCAACCTGGACTTTTTATGGGAGTCTCCAACAATTCTGTTTGAGGGGTAGATACCTAGTTCTGGGACCATCTGAACAGAGGTTAAGCAATCAGAAGGTTCCCCTTCTTCAGATAAAGAACCCCTGCGGTAGAGATCAAGATGCTACAGTTGCAGATATAAATGGGTGAGGGAGAAAGTAACACAATCTATGGGGGGTGAGTGGGCTTTCTAAAAAATATTGGCTATGTTCAGTGAGCAGCAAATATTGTACGGCATGAGGGACCATTATGCCAAAAAAGCCCGTGAGGGTGAGGTGGCAGAGGTCTGCAGGTGCTGGGCTGCTGCTGCTGCTGCTGCTCTGAGACAAGGTGGATGGGTCTTTGCTGCTGGACTGAGAAAAAGGCTGCCATGGCTTTTTGCCTCTCGTCCCCAGGAGCTGGGTAAAACTTGGAAGGCTTTGTTTATGAGTGAGCAGAAAGGTTTAGGTAGACCCAGAATGAGAATCTGTTGGACTGCTAATTTTTTCCCCATATAAATCTATGCCCTTTTAGCTTTTCCTTTGAACCAGTTACAACATCCACCTGGTTGCCTCCTATCATATGAGTAAAATACATTTCCAACATAACATTATTTTTATATCTGTATGACCGCCATCATTTTGCATTTTCCCCAAAATTTTCATTTAGCACCACGTACCTATCTCCCAGCATAAGAAAGAAAGCCTTAGCCATACAGCCTCCCCTCCCCCACTCCAGAGTAACCAGGTCCTTGAGTTTGGAATCCTGCTTTCTTTAAATGCCTTAAAGCTAGGTATTTTTTTAAGGTACTAGTGGATAAATATCTTTGCAATTCAAGTATACATTTCCAAACTAGCACTTGAGATACCACAGTCTTGACCAGACATTGTTGTTGTTCTGGTGTCTGACTATAAAAACACAATAACTAGGAGGATGTGAACAGCTCTACTGAAGGGCTAAACTTGTGCACTAAACCCCACTTTAACATAAGGGCCCCATCCTTGCTTTAATGGGCGATCACGTTTCATTTCTCTAAGCCTGAAAATCATGGGAAGAGTGAGGAATCATGAGGGTTGGGGTCTTGTGCAACCCGTAGCGATTCCATGGGAGGGACAGAAAGGCGTGGGCACTTACTGATGCCCACTGAAGCACACCTGGGTGTTGGGCGGCGAACACGTGTTCCTCATCGCCACAGGGGACAGGGTCAGGACGCTTACAGGAACTCGGGAGCAGGCACCATTTTCAACACTTTACCTCAATACACACAGTCCTCTATTATCCCCATTTGACAGTGCAGGAAACTGAGGCACAGTAAGATGCAGTGATGTTGCCTGAGTTCATGAGCTAAGGTGGCAGAGCTTGGAACTTCTCCCTCATGCTTTGAAAGCTTTCAACAAACAGAAAAGTGGAAAGAACAGTAAAATAGACACCCATACATCCATCAGGTCTCAACAATTGTTAATATTGTTATATTTCACTTATCGGTTCATCTCTCTGTATATACTTTACTAAGGTATGTTAATGTTGTGGACCTCGTGTCACTTCATGCCCACATGAATATCATATTTACATCAAGGAGATTTAACAGTTCTCTCGTCTCAGTCTTTCATGTCTCTTTCATGTTTCATACAATCACCCATTCACGTTTCACACACTGCCGTTGGTTGTTTTTCTGCAATGACTTTGGCTCCTTAAAGAGACCAAGTCAGCTGCCTTTCCCTCTGTGATCCTGTCCACGTCTCCCTAAAGCCCAAGGGGCAAGTCCAGCTGTGCTCGTGGTGGACACGTTGTCTGCTTTCCTGTTACCCAGTGGCAGAGGTGAGCACTTGAAACAGACTCTGTGCCTCACACAGCGGAGGACATTCACTGTCGGGCTCCTTCTTTACTCTCTGGGTTTGCTGACCCCTGAGTTAAACTGTTCCTTCCCTTAAACTAACTTTTAGGTTGACTACACAGGTGAGAAAGCGCTAGATCAGTAGGTTAACAATCTGCACACATGGACATTTATAGAGAATCATTTATTCATCTATTGACATTCATTCATTATTTTCAACCATCACATGTTTTCCTCTCCCTACATCACAAAGGAAATTACAAAAACCTAAAAGTAGAATTAGTACTCAATTGCATGAGTAGCTTACTCCATTCGTAGTGAGTACTTTATTAGTGAGTACCTGGGAGGGATGTTTTGATTTGATTTTTTTTAATGGATAGGAATATTTTTGACATTGTAAATTTCCTTTGGGTCAAATCAGGATAGGGTACAAAACGGGTTCCACAGATGGAGCAGAGAGTCCAGCTCACCACTGCTCAACATTTTTTTCTGATACGAACTGTCCATGAGGCCCCTCAGCATCCGGGGGCAAAAGGGCCAGGTACACCGGGGTCTCTGCTCCTTCTTCTGGACTTTTCGTGGCCTTGGGTCCTGCCATGTCGGTTCTAACCCAGCCTGGGCAGCAGGCATTCAGGAGGATTTTGTCTCCTTTCCTCTGCTCACTGAGTTTCCTGGCCTGGATTCTTGACAGGACTGTGACGCCAATCTTTGAAACTCCATATGCGTTGGTGGCCCAGCCCTCTTTCTGGTGCACTTCCTTCTTGGTGTCTTCCACAAACTTGTTCATGAGCCCCACCAGTTCCTCCTCCGTGATGGTCTCGCTGCGGAACTTCTGCTGCAGCTCTGGGCTGCAGTTTTTAAGGGCTTTAAAAGACATCCTGCTAGACACATTCACCACTCTCCCTACAATACACCACAAATCATTATGTAGAAAGGAATGCACCAGAATGGTGATGACCAAATTTGCTGTGATTTTGGACTATAAAGTTTTCCTATGAAAGACCATCAGCAGGATGAATTCTCAGAGGACAATGCATAGAGATGTGATAGTTTGCCGAGAGTTGGCTATTCTCCTAGCCCAAACAGCTCCCAAGGCAGGATCATTGCAAGGGATTTGGAAATAATAGAAAATTAAAGAAATGATATATGTTAGATGTAGAAATGACTGAGACAGAGACAATGTGCAGTTTAAAAGATGGGGGAGTCAGGGGTCATCAGCATTCCCACAGGCTGAGACCACACCCCCCCAGTGAAGTCCCACATCAGTATTTATTGGTACAGCAAATAGTTATCTTTTGTTAGAGAATTACGTATACCGTTCATTTTTTGAGATTTCCAAGGGAACCTTACCTAATTCTGTCTACAATAATAGATGGTTACACAATTTTCCCAAGATAAGCTTGTTAATCTCTAAGTTAGAAACAGACCTAGCTGAGCATACCAATTAAAGATAAAATGTATAAGATGAGAACACTGAATCTGTGTACTACTGTAATATACATCTTCTAAACACAGAGACATGTAGTCAGGAGTGAAGTGGGACTAGCCTTGAAGACTAGGATGGTTCCAACTGCATGTTATCTGCTGGGCAGACATTTTAATAAGATTCTCCACCAAGGACCCAAACCAAGCTTCTGCTTTGCAAAAAAGCTCAAGGCGCTAGCTGGAAGCAAAGAAGAAACGTTGCTTTGCAAACATCATCTGACAATGTCCCCTTATTGGAAGCAGTTTCTATTTTGTGAACTAACATGTCCACAGATTCCTTCAAGGCAAAGCCCTGCAAAACTGAAACTTCTCACATCTCCTAGCCTATCTTCCAACAGTAGTTGCATAATAAACTCCATCCTAGCCTTTAAATTTTAGCTGAGGAGAGCAGTCAGGTGACATTTGGAAGAGCTGCCCTTAGAGGTTCTAATGAAGCTGAGTCTTAGACATAGTTCCATATTCCAGGAAGACAGGACGAGGAAGCAGGTTAGGAGGTGAAAGCCCATGGGAATACTCAACTCTGGGCCATACACTTTAATCTTTCTAAAGGTGGCTTCTTCAATTTACAACTGCAAAGATATGGAACCACCTAAGTGCCCACCAACTGATGATGAGATAAAGAATACATAACATATTTATTTATATGCCCTGGAATATTACTCTGCAATGAAAAGGAATGAAATAATGTGTTCTGCAGCAACTTGAATGGAATAGGAGACCATTATTCTAAGTGAAGTAACAAGGAACCAAATACAATATGTTCTCACAAGTGAGAGCTAAGCAATGGGTATGCATGGCCATGCAGAGCGACTTAGTGGATATAGCAGAGTCTGAATGAGGGGAATGGGGACTGCGAGATGAAAAATTACTCTTTGTGTACAATATACACTAGTCAGGTTAATATATTAAAAGCCTAGACTCCTCCACTATGCTATTCTGCCATGTAACAAAAAACCTCTTGTACCCCCTAAATCTATTTTTTTTAAAAAAGTGTCTACCTGTATTAATTGCTGCGTTTTTAATGAGTGGATTCACCTCAAGTCTCATTAACTTGGGGTAAGCACTACAGTAGTTTACAATCAAACACATATGGCGGTCAAGTCCAGAACACCGAGCACGATGAAGGGGAGTTAACACGAGCTTGAAGCTAGGCAGCGGCAGATTCTGAACATCCTTATAAACCATGCTGTGGGCTTGGACTTTGCTTCTAAAGGATCTCAGGGGAGGGGACTGCCATGCAGACAGTATGCAGGATGCAGAGAATGGAAAAGACTCAAGAAAGGAGGGTCCTTAGGAGAGTATGCAGTTGTGCAGGATGACAGCTGAGGGCCTGTTGTAGAGCTGGCATGAGGTGGATTCAGGACAAACTCCGTGGGCACAACTGCTAGGCCCTGGTCAGTGATGATATGGGGAAAGGGCATGGTGACCTGCAGGATCCTGGTGGGTGGACAGTGGGGTTGGTGGCCAAGATGATTTAGGGAGAAGGATGAGCATCCTCTGGAAATGTGTGTTTTATTATAGATCGGGGGCGGGAGCATCTCTAGGAGTGTTCTAGGCAGGTGACACATTTTAGAAGGGCCTGCTGGATTGGTGGCAGTGAAGGCTCCACCAGCCTGAATAAGATCAGTCTGATGAAGCAGAGAAAGGGTGCAGGATGACATCCTACTGCACTGCAGCATGTGAGGGGGACAGAGCAAATAAATAACCTCTCTGAGGACACACTGGGCTGAGATCTGAAGGATGAGAAAGAGCCAGGTGAGCAAAGACCAGCAGGACAGAGAGCACCCAGAGCCACCGGAGAAGTGAGGACAAAGTCCTGCAGCAAAACTGTGCCTGGCAGGCTGGAGACAAAGCAAGGAGGCAGGTGTACCCGCAGCACGGGGAGTCAGCAGGGCTGGGTCCCGGGGCACAGACAGGTGAGCTGTTCCCACCACACTCACCTTGGGGTTTTATCAGAGGGAGTAACTCTGTGCAGACATCTCTGGTACCAAAAAAGTTTGTTTTCATGGTCACTTCTGCTTGAATATGGAAGGGTGCAGTATCAGCATCTTTTAGGGGAGAAAGAGAACAGAGTTAAAGGACAGTAGCCATGGGGTGACATTCCATAGAATGACACACACACAAAATAGTGCCTGTGAATCCTGATGACTTGGGTCAGGAGTCTGCGTCTAGTTACAGTATTGTGCCCACATCAAATTTCCTGCTTTGAGAATGTTCCAGGCAGTATTTTTGAAAGATGATACCACTGGGGGTGAGGGCTGAAGAGTACACATACCAGATCTCAGTGTATCCATGTTTTGCGATTTCTTGTTTATTTCAAAATCAGTTAAAACTTCATCCAGCTTCCCTAAAGTCTGATCTCTACATACTTTAGAGAACCTGGAAAAGATCCCCAGTAGTTCCAGCCACGGAAACACCAAGATCCCTCTGGCTGGAAGACCCTCCTTCTCCCTGAGAACTCTGGCTCTCTGGGCAGATCCCCGCCCTCCTTCTGCTCCTGGGAGCCTGTTCTGGGCCCTCCACGTGCCGGGGGGACCCTCAGGGCTTCTGTTAGGTATCCCACCCTGCAGAGAGGCTCCTCCGGAAGCCACCTCCCCTCCTGAGCATGCCATCCCCTTACTTTGGAAGGCGATGCCCGCGTTGTTGACCAACACGTTAGCCCCCGTATCCCTGCGCAGGAAGTCGCGCAGGCGCGGATCTCTGCAGTCGTCGATGTCCAGACTGTGGAAGCGCGGGCTAAGGCCCTTCGGCCTGCAGCTGCTGCACGGCCGCCTGCGCGCGCGTCCGCGCTGGAGACCACGTCCCGAGAATGCGGCACATTGTCCGCGCGAGGCGAAGCCGATGCCCTTGTTGACCGGTCACCAGCGCCACGCGGCTGCGGAGACGACATGGCCCGGTGGGGCGCGGGCACCTGTGCGGAGAAGGGGTCCGGCTGAGGTCTCCGAGCTTGCACGGCGCGTGTGAGATCTGAGCGAGTGTGAGGGTGCCAGGTGTACACAGGCAGATGCCCGCTCAGGCGCAGGATCCGCCCCTGCCACTGGGGCTCTTGAACCTCCCCAGACCTCCACAGAGCAAGGACGCCAGGAAACCCTGACGGGCTTTCCGGACCAGCAACTGAAGACAGTGGTTGGTGGTGCAGGTCACTGCCCGCCTAACAGAGATAAATCATTTCTATTGACCACGTGCCTAAATCCCTTATCCCTCCTTCTCTGGTTCTAAGGTGTCCTTGTGGTTCCTGCAACTATTCAACCATGCACATTTGAAGTCTTTGGAACTAGTTGTGGGCGAATCTGGAAGAAAAGACAGGCTGATTTCTCCCCTTAGTATATGAAAGACAAAGCGCCGCTTATCCTTGCCAGGTTTTCCAATAACGTGGAAACATTACTAACTCATCACAGGTTACCTCTCTGACACTATGGGGCCATCGTCTTACCTGTATCCGGTCTGCAATGCACAGGTAAGAGGGCTTCCCTGACATATTTTACACTCAATAGTAACATCAGGATGTTCTTCTATCCCCATTTGAAAACGAAGAAGGTCAGCCTCAGAAGTTTTTAAAATTATTTCGGTGGATGAGAAATGAAGTGTTTCTTGTCTATGCTAGACAAGAGGAGTAGAAGTATAGTCAAGTTTTCTGTGTTCGTTCATAGGTGGACAGTAGCCACAGTGGCCTAGTGGTAAATGAGATTTACATAATCAGAATAAATACTTATCAATTTCAGTTTTTGTAGTTCACCCCCACCTTTCAGGTGCTCA